TGTAGTTTTAGTAGAGACGGGGTTTCACCGTGTTGACCAGGATGGTCTCGATCTCTTGACCTCGTGATCCACCTGCCTCGGCCTCCCAAAGTGCTGGGATTACAGGTGTGAGCCCCCGCGCCCGGCTTCCATCTCCGATTTTCAAGCAACTCTCCTGTGTCAGCCTCCCAAGTAGCTCAGTTTACAGGCATGAGCCACCACACCCAGCTAATTTTTGTATTTTTAGTAGAGATGGGGATTTCACCATGTTAACCAGGCTGGTGTCAAACTCCTGACCTCAAGTGATCCACCTGCCTAGGCTTCCCAAAGTGCTGGGATTACAGGCCTGAGCCACTGTGCCTGGCCCTGTTTTTTGTTTTTCAGACAGAGACAATGTCTTGCTGCGTCACCCAGGCTGGAGTGCAGTGGTGCCATCATAGCTCACTGCAGCCTTGAATTCCTGGGCTCAAGCAGTCCTGCAGCCGCAGCCTCCTGAGCAGCTAGGACTACAGGCATATACTACCATGCCTGGCTAATTTTTTTTATATTTTGTAGAGTCAAGGTCTCACTGTGTTGCCCAGGCTGGTCTTGAACTCCTGGCCTCATGCTATCTTCCTACCTAAAGTGCTGTTATTACGAGTGTGAGCCACCATGCCCGGCCCCAAACTACATTTTTCTATTTTGTTGTTGTTGAGACAGAGTCTCCCTCTGTCACCCAGGCTGGAGTACAGTGCTGCAGTCTTGGCTCACTGCAGCCTTTGCCTCCCAGGTTCAAGCGATTGTCTTGCCTCAGCCTCCTAAGTAGCTGGGATTGCAGGTGCATGCTACCATGCCCGACGAATTTTTATATTTTTTAGTAGAGTTGAGGTTTTACCATTTTGACTAGGCTGGTCTCGAACTCCTTACTTAAGTGATCTACCCACCTCGGACTTAGAAAGTGTTGGTATTACAGGCATGAGTCATTGTGCCCAGCCCAAACTACATTTATTCTTTTCATTTGAATGTAAATGATAGGGGCTTCACAACCAGGAAAACAGGTATATTTAATGTCTTCCTTTGAGGAATTAAGGCCTTCCCCTCAGGAATTAAGGCCTACTAGATTACCCTCTCACCCTTGGCTATATGAATGTGTAATTTAGCAGATTTAAAAGGAAGTTGATGTGTTTTTATCTTGTCAAGTGATTTCAGCAAAATATTTATACCCAAAACAGTATTAACACTGCCAGATCATAAACAGTGCTTATGGACTATACTCAAAGATTATACTTCAAGCCTTGAAAATCTAAGAAAGAACTGCTTCCTGTGGGGGGGAGGGAGGAAGGATTATTAAGTGGAGTTCTAGGTCTTTGAGAATGTAGAGTAGGTAGCTTACAGGGGCATATTAGAAATTGGAGAAAAAGTAAGTTTTCCTGACTTTGGTGACGTGGCGTTCAGATGTTTGAGCAACTCACTTGGCATTCTTTCTGTATCTTTGCAGCTCCCATGGCTATTGAAGAACAAGTGGCTGTTATCTATGCAGGTGTAAGGGGGTATCTTGATAAACTGGAGCCCAGCAAGATTACAAAGTTTGAGAATGCTTTCTTGTCTCATGTTGTCAGCCAGCACCAAGCCCTGTTGGGCACTATCAGGTATGAATGTAATTGTTGGCCTCCTTTTGTAAAGTTAGGTTTAAGATAGAAAGTCTTGTTAAAATTATTGTAGTTAGGCTAGTCATTAAAATTTTGTCCAGGTTAGAACTTACGACCTGCTTTTATTTTCAAATAGGGCTGATGGAAAGATCTCAGAAGAATCAGATGCAAAGCTGAAAGAGATTGTAACAAACTTCTTGGCTGGATTTGAAGCTTAAACTCCTATGGATTCACATCGAATACCAGTTCAGTCTTGTCATTGTGTGTTCTAGAAAATTAGTTCCATTCGTAAAAGGGTTACTCTCATATTCCTATGTACAGAAATCACATGAACAATAAAAGTTCCATAATGTGTAGTTGTTTTCTGTCATCTGAGTTATTTAAAACCAAGATCAAATTGAGAAATTGGTAAACATGTTTCCTGATCCATTTTTTTTTTTTTTTTTTTTTTT